CGTTCCTCTATTTAGTGCGGAGATCATTGACATTGGAGGTCTCCCTCCAAACCTCTGTCAGGTCTATGATTGCCACACTGGGCCAGGAAGGCGCTCGACTTCTCCATCCCCTGGCAAGCTCCTGGGAGCTGCCAGACTGGTCCTGGGGAGCAGTGGAAGGCTGGCTGGCACTGGGTGGCTGGCTCATGCTGGCACCTGCATCGGGGCAGTGCCTGAGGGCTCTGGGTTGGCAGGCCTGCAGCTGGCACAGGCCCTGTGGCCAAACAGACTCTGCACCTTTAAGGGCTCCGGGGCGGGGGCGGGGGGGAAGAAGGAGCAGAAGAGTTGTCCTGGTTTGGCCCAGAGTAGCCACCAGGGGAAACTGGGAAAGGCTGGAGGCCTCCTATTTCAGAATAAGCATCTACACAGCACTTATTCCGAATTAGCTAATTCGAGTTTGGCGTTACTCCTCATAGAATGAGGTTTACCGAACTCGAATTAAGCATGTGTAGATGCTATGAAAGTTAATTCGGAATAACGGCTATTATTCTGAATTAACTTTGCTGTGTAGACATACCCTCAGTCTCATCCTGTCTCTTTTTCTATGGACAAAGCCATGTCCAGGGCTGAGTCCCTGCTGGACAGGAGCAGAGCTCCAGAAAATTGGGACAGTGCCACTTAAAGGCAGACAAATGGGCTCCTGACATTTCATGGGGTTTGTCCTCGTGCTTATTTCTGTTTCTTTAGGAAAAATTGGAAGCCCATTTGAAGACTCTGAGGGAAGAGAGAGAAAAGGTGTTGGGAAGGAAAACAGCAACAGAAGGGAAAAGCCAGGAGTATTTGGTAGGTGCCTGAGGCTATGGAGCACCAGGGACTGGCAGTGGGAGGGCTGTGTTAGAAGGCAGACTCCTGCGTGACATTGGTGAGGTTGGGCTTGTTTGTGTTTCTCCTGGATCATGGATTGCTGGGTGAGATCCATGTGTAGACAGACCCTGAGCATCCATGTCAGCATGAGTTCATGTCCAGCCTTTGTGGCTTTCCCAAGGAAGCTGAATGTCCCTCTAAAGGACTGTCTGCTCACTTGGTGCATTAACATGTTTGCTTCTTTTTCCTCTCTGAGTATCTCTGTCAGGCTGGTGCTGAGTCCTGCCTCATGGTGCTCTGGATCTGAATTCCCAGAGCCCATGAATGACAGAAGATGTTGCCCATGACTGAGGGACATGGGTCAAAGGAGATGCTGGGAGAGACGCCTCTGCTGAGTAACCACAAAGTAGAGTCAAATGTCACACATTTTAGGTTTTTCCAAGAAATTCTTGCTGCTGCGCGCTGTTCCCCATGAAAGAGCTCTGGGCTCTGTCCATGCCCCTCACCAGCCCTTTCCCTGTTTTCATACAGAAATGGACCCAAGCAGAGAGGCAGATGATTGTGGCCGAGTTTCAGCAGCTGCAGCAGTTCCTGGAGGAACAAGAGCGACTCCTCCTAGCCCAGCTGGAGAAGTTAGACGAGGAGATTGGGAGGTTCCAGACTGACACTGTCAGGAAACTCTCTGTGCAGATTTCCTGCCTCAGTGAGGGGATCGGCGAGCTGGAGGGAACGTGTCAGAAGCCAACAAGTGAATTCCTGCAGGTGAGACTGAGGGACAAACATCCCAGCTCCCCCCACAGGGAAGGGAGGCTCCTGAATCACAGGTGCTGGGGTCCAGCTGTCAGATCTCAGTGTAACACCTTGTGCGAGTGACTCTTTAGGGGGGAGGGATAGCTCAGTGGTTTGAGCATTGACCTGCTAAACCCAGGGTTGTGAGTTCAATCCTTGTAGAGGCCATTTAAGGATTAGAGGCAAAAATTTGTCAGTGGTGGTACTTGGTCCTGCTTGTCAGTGGTGGTACTTGGAAGGCAGGGGACTGGACTTGATGACCTTTCAAGGTCCCTTCCAGTTCTAGGAGATAGGCAATCTCCATTGATTTGTGCTTTGTAGAGTTACAGGCACAGAGCTATTAGAGATGGAATAGGCCCATTTGCTCAGGGGATCCATGTTCCTGGGGCCAAGGCAGGGCCTCTCTTCCCATGTTTGCAAAATCCTTTCCCTGAGGTCCTCTGTGTGTGTCCAATAGGGCTTAGATTCTTTTCTGTGTCTTTTTTTCTAGGACATCAGAAGCACCCTGAGTAGGTAGGTGGCTCTCACTCCCCTCACACTGAACAGTGCAAGGAAAGGGTTTGGAACAGATGTTAGCACCACATCTCCCCACGACTCTACAGCCAGATGTTAGATGCAAATATCTCTGACTCATTTAATTCTGAGGGTCTCATCCTTGCACTTCAAACTCTGGAATTCCTCACGTTCAGCCCAGAGCAGCAGCGACCAAGAGTCTGTCCCACCCGAGAGTTGTTTGGAGACCTGTGCGGAAAGAGCTGGGGAGAGGGGAGCTGGTGTCTCAGTCTAGTCCCTAGTGGACAGATTCCTTCAGACCTTCACCTGGGAACCTCCTGTCCGTTAATGCCTGGAGGCCAAGGAGTGAGTTGAGTTGGCCATGGAGACTCAATTCCCCTTTAGTCTCCCCAGACCAGAAGTGAAGAACAGCAGTGGAATCTTCCAGGGGAAGGTTGCATGGCCATGGGATGTGTTGTCTCTGCTCTCAGGCTGGGAGAATTGGAGAAATTCTAACGCCAGGCCAGTTACAGTTGAGACTTACTAGCCAGAATTTATCAGCAGTAAACTAAATAGAATCACATGGAATTGTTTCTGTCCAGGGGTGATATGGGGCAATTCCAGCTGCCAGAGATTTCCCCTGACCTGGAAGAACAACTCAGCAGTTTCTCCCAGAAAACGATTGCTCTATCAGAGACTCTGAGGGAGTTCAAAGGTAACTAGAAGGGATGCATTAGGGGAAAGTGGTGCAAGTATCTGAGACCATTGAATCTGGCCTCTGAAGGCAACCTTCCCCTCCCTCAATTTCCATGAGGAGAATGACGGCCCCATCACTCTTCTCTCCTTAGACACTTCTGTGAACAGACCCATCTGCTTGCAGGTAGAGCCAGGGTTCTGCAAACTCTGAACCTCCCATTCAGAGATCAAAATGGCTAAAATTACTGTGATGGCCACGTGTTCCGCCACCACAGCTCCAGGTTATGATAAGAGGCAGTAAATGAATGAGAAAACAAGTGGGAGGGGGTGGGTAGGGAAGAGTAAATCTCATTTACAGCTAGTCTCTCCTAGGATGGGTGTGAGGCTGCAGGGATATTGGCTCCATTGCTGGGAGGTGCCCGAGTGAGAGAGGAAATGAAAGTTTCAGACTTTTTCATACTAAATTCCTGAGTGTGTCCCTGTCTGGTCTCTGATAAAATTGAAACGTGGAATTTAGCGTGGAGACATTGTTATAAATTGGAGACATTGTTATAAATAGAAGAGCCTGGAATCTCACCTCTCCTATTCCTTCCCTAACCAGACGCGCTGCACTCTGCACTGGAGAGAGCAAGAAGAAAATCCCTGGGAGCTTTCAGACAAGGTGAGTTTGCAGGTGGAGATTCTTTAAATTATGAGAAAATTCCTATGAGAACATCTTCATGGGATTGTCATTGAAGTTACCAACCAAACCCAGTGACCACGGTGCACACAGCCCTAAATCTCACCCACTGATCAGTGAGGAGCCCCAGGGGTGCTGCATGGGGCCCTGTGGACACTTTGAATAACACTGATCTCTGGGGTGTGATGCTAAAGAGATGAAGTTAAAGCACACAATGGACGGCACCTTCAGGCTCAGATTTCACTGCTCAGACAGTTTCAATCTGGGGTTGGTTTCAAACAATAAATAGGCTGAAAGGCTGAGTGCTGACTGGCTTCCACAGCATCCGTTTGTTCAAGGCAAGAAACTGCTGGATCCCCAAAGGCTGTTAAGTCTAGTGCAGGCCTGGGCAAAATACAGCTAATGGGCCAAATTTGCCCCACCAAGCCATCAGATCCAGTCCATGGATACCACTCCCCATCTGCAAGTCACTTAGAAAGTGACAGCGAGCCCAGAGGGGAGGGGGGAAGGCTTCAGGGGCTTCTTCCACCCCCAGGGCAATCTCATTGGCTGGTGTCTCCCCTCTGGGTCATAATTATTCACACACCCACATGGCCCTGCAGCCCAGGAGAGGGTTGGGCAGGCTCCCTGCCTTCCTGAGGTGCTTGGCCTCGGGCCAGGAGTCGCTCAGATAAATCTCCTGTCCAGAGCTTGCCTCTGACACCCCAACTTTTCCTTTCCACTCCTAATCTCTGCTCCCCACTCCTGCTCCCCCACTCTGCAGGAGGAGGACAGAGTTTAGGTATGCAGCTACATATGCAAGAGCTCTCAGTGGTCAGAAACCCGCAGCCGCTTATTTGTCCACCAAGTCACGTCTCTAAATTAAAGTTACTTTAAATATCTAATGCGTAGTTGGCCAATCCAGTGTCCTTGATCACAGCCTGCCTCCTTCACCCAAACTCCCTCCTAGACCCCTCTGTCCGTCCTGAATCCTAAACCCTTACCCCAAGCTTGCTTCCTTCTCCCAACGTCCATCCCAGACCCTGCATTTCCTGCATTAATGTCATGGAAGAGTTCAATAAGTGAACGCTGATGCCAGACTATTTCAGGCTAGAAAAGAGGCGCAAATGTTTGATAGGGAAGAGGATTTGCTGCTGAAACAAATGAGCAAAGAACTGGTGGATTCTCCCTTCTCTTGATGTCTTGAAATCACTGGGGGACTTTCTCGAAAATACACTGTGGGGAAACAGAGCTTTGTGCCTGGGTAACTAGACTAAGTGTAATGGCTTGTGCCACAGAGGGGGTCAGACTGCATGACTAGGGATATCTTCTGATCCCATGAATCCGTGAATTTTAAGATCTCATCCTGCTAACACTCAGCACACGTGTTTAATAAGAAGCATCTGAATGGTGGTGTTAACATCACTGACTCTCTGTTGTGGAAAGGGTTTATAACGTCTCTGTCAGATGAGAGCGAAGTTTGTGCTGCAAATCCATGAATGAAGAGTAGGGGTTTTAAATACAACAGTCTGTATTTAACCTATATCCATGTTCAGGCAGATGAATATGTGGCTTGTTATCAGAAACACTAGGTGCTGAGAACTAAATCCCATTGTTGCAGACACAGTAATGTTGTAACTCAAGCCAGGTATGGAGAGAAATGAATATGGATTTGGGATCTAACTTGTGTGCACTGTTTATGGGATATCTAGACTAAAACTTTTTCCCACAATAGCAGAGTCTAGCACATATGTCACCAGGAACAGTCTGGGGATAATGGGAGTGTGGAAAGGATTAAAGCCCCTTCTGAAATGTCTCCAATTCCCCTTCTCCTCCTGCCAGGCTGCAGAACACCCATGTCTGTCTCCAGCTCAGCCCTTGGCCAGCAGAGTCAAGGACAGGAAATGGCCGTGGCGGAGCTGGTGAGCTTCGAGGAGGTGGCTGTGTATTTCTTTGAGGAGGAATGGGCTCTTCTGGACCCGGGCCAGAGAGCCCTCTACAGGGATGTGATGCAGGAGAATTATGAGGCTGTGAACTGGCTGGGTAAGGATTCCTTTCCCCTTGGGTATCAGAAGCTGGGTGGGCTCTGGAGCAGCTGGGTTGGGTTTGGTTCAGGGTTGTTCATTGCTTCTGCCCCAATAATCCTGGCTCTAGTGTGAAAGACTGTCCCCTCCATAGCCCCTCCCAGGGAAAGCAGGTTCAGTGACATAACAATGGTGCTGCTCTTCCCACAGCTAAGGTCTCACTGCGCTTCCCCCCCGTCTTGCCCATCTTGTGCGTTGACCAGAGGTGTGAGTAGAAGGGCTCAGGCAGGAACAGCAGGTACCCATTGTTACAGACGCAGTAATGTTATAACTCAAGCCAGGTAGAAACAGAAATGAATGTGTATTTGGGATCTAATTCCTGTGCACTGTTTATGGAATTTCCAGACTAAAACTTTTGCTCACATTGGCAGAGTTTAGCATGTGTGTCACCAGGGACAGAGTCTGGGGAAAATGGGGGTATGGAAAGGATTAAAGTCCCCTCTGAATTGTCTCCAATTCCCCTTTTCCCCTGCCAGGCTGCAGAACACCCATGTCTGTCTCTGCCTCAGCCCCTGGCCTGCAGAGCCAGGGACAGGAAATGGCCGTGGAGGAGCCAGTGAGCTTCGAGGAGGTGGCTGTGTATTTCTCTGAGGAGGAATGGGCTCTGCTGGACCCGGACCAGAGAGCCTTCTACGAAGATGTGATGCAGGAGAATTATGAGGCCGTGAACTGGCTGAGTAAGGATTCTTGTTCCCTTGGGTAACAAAAGCTGGGTGGGCTCTGGAGAAGCTGAGTTGGGTTTGGTTCAGGGTCATTCATTGCCTTTGCCCACAATGTCACAAGTATCTGCCCCAATAATCCTGGCTCTTGCTTGAAAGACTGTCCCCTCCATACTCCCTCCCAGGGAAAGGAAGTTCAGGGACATAACAATGGTGCAGCTTTTCCCACAGCTAAGGTCTCATTGTGCTTCCCCCTATCTTGCCCATCTTGTGCCTTGACCAGAGGTGTGAGTAGAAGGGCTCAGGCAGTTACAGCCAGTACCAGAAGTCAGGTTCTGGATCTGGGTCTGGCTGCTGTTAGTGGCTGCAGGGTCCCCCTGTGGCAGTGAGCTCAGCCACTGGAAGGAGGGTGTGGTTCCCAGAGTCCTTCCCTGCTTCTAGCTAATCTCTGTGACATGCTGTTAGTACTTGCAAGTGGGATGGTCTGCATGCTGGGGCTGAGGGAGGGTGGATGCTCTGCGAGTATTTTGTCCAAGGTAGCTCTGTAGTAGAGAAAGGTGAGCAGAGATTTTCTTGCATTTCAGGCACGAGCTGGGTTTCATTTCAAAAGTTCAGCTTCATTCTCTCAGGGCTCACTTGCCTCTCTGTGCAGTGGAGATAAATCATGTCATTCATGTTGTCTGTGCGGCCCTGGAGGGGCACCAAATCAAAGGCCAGGCTCACCACAAGAGGCAGACTGGGAAACCACACAAAGGCTGCTGCTGGCAGAGTAGAACCGAGGCTGCAGAGGAGGAGCTGAGCACCAGCCACAAGCACCAGAGAAGCATCACAGCCCAGCTCTGTCCTGGTTGGCCCCAGGAGAAGACCAGCACCACCTTGGCCAGCTATGACAATGGCAGCTGTTGTGGGTGGGCACCGGCAGGGCCCACCCAGATACAGGCAATTAGTATCAGGAGTGTGGAGCATATGCAGGACTTGAAGCAACCTGCCAAGGATTCACTTAGATGCTCAGGCAACTTCCTGTTCCTCCTTCTGGCCCAAGTAGAACATCTGAGCCAAAGATC